TGTCTTCTTCCTCTTATGTCTTTCTTACTGAAGGTCTGTCTTTTTTGACATTACGGATAATTTTTTTTTCTTTCAGTTTTGGCAGCTCAGGCAGCTCAGTTTGTGTCAGTGGCATTTTTAAATCTGTAAAGGAAATTTTGCCCTCTCTGCAAATAGTGCTTAGTTTCTCATTCTGCTGCAGAAAGACACCCCTTTCCTCCAGTCTCACAAAACTGCGACTCATCCTTACTAACACCATTTTTTAAACTAGGTGTTAACATTTCTTATACGTTTTCTTATTTTGGACATAGCCCAGAGGGATGGTTTTTAAAACACTAACCTGACACTCTACTGATAAAGGGATTAAATGAAAGTATTTGCATAATATCTTCCAAAAAGATGGGCTTTATGATAGATGACACCAAAATATATTGCCTAAGAATCGAATCATTTGGAGGGGTAAAAAGTGCAAGTAAAGAGATTAGCAGAGTAGAACAGGGCTATGTTGGACGTTGATCTTGTGAAATAGTAAGAGGATTTCATCATGTCAATTGTTACACAGCATCTCTCTGAAGAGACCTGCCCACGCTAACTTCCTTGTTTCACTACAGGATGATTCTATGGCCAAAGAAGCCCAGACTGGTTAGCTTCAGAAAGAACCATTTTGCAGCCACCTTTGGAAAAAAAAAGGAGTATTAGCTGTTACGTTCTTGTATCACAGGATGAATTTGAATTAATATTTTCTCCATCTTTTTGGCTTTACTTCAGAAATATGTAGTTTGGTGGGAGGGGGGATTTAACAAACTTTAGGCAAGCTTTGCCAAATCCACAGTGTACAGGGTACTGGATGACATGCACTGGAATGCTGATTCCATGAGGCTCGGAGTCTTATCGCATCTGCAGGCAAAGAGTAGAAGCTCAACGTACAGCGCACTACTTTGTGCTTGAACCATTCTGTCAGGTTAGTGCGATTAGGTACTACACCCCATTTTTAATCTTTTTTTTTGTTTGTTTGTTTGTTTGTTTTAAGAAAGTGTAAGTTATACATGCCTGTCCTGGGAAGGTCCTGAACAGTTCAGAGAGAATTTGAAATTGTCACATCAGCTAGAATAAATGTATTAGTTGACAATTATTTGATAGATAGAACAAAGATATATAACCTACTAAGCTGAGCGAAGTTATATCCTTTCTTTTGCCTTTATTTTTACATGATTAATGTGGTCCGTGTTCCTGTAATAGTTGAGTGCCTCTTATTCTTGTTAATGCATCTAATCTCAAAACATGACTCTGAGGCAGGGAAATACTACCTTTTCCAAATGTAGATGGGCAACTGAGATGTAGAGGGTTCTGTTCATACCACCAAGCATGATCAAATAATATTTGACTCCAATGACTTTGGATAGAGCCAGCAGCTTTAGAGAGCAGATGATCTGAATCACCTATCTCTCTTTTGAATAATAATCACAATAATCTCTGCTGTAATAAACACAGTGATTAAGTTAGGCTGGGTTTGAGAAGGGCTCTGCTGAACAGACCTCTGAGAGACAAAGAGCTTTTTTTGCAAAGACATTTTGATGTATAACTCCCACTGAAATCGAAGGGAAGGTCTGTGCCCCAGGGACTTTGCCCTGGATTGTCCCCTAAGTCTGTTGCACAACGAGGAAATACTGGTGGGTGCAGCTCTCCAAAGGGAAAAACCTTGTATTTTGCTGTTTTTCTAAGTGGAAATTCCTAAATATGTGCAACCTTCCTGTATAACATATAAGTAAAGTTTATCTATCTCCTCTAAAATGCAGACAATGAGTCTGACTTATTTTTCAGATGAAAGGCTCTACATAGATCTAAAGAAGATATTTTTATGTAGTAATAATTATGCTTTGACTAGGAATAAAAATGTACGTCCCCACTGCCTCTGTGAGGTCATGTGCAAACAGAAATAGAGGAGAAATTGCCAAAGCAACTGATTAACTATCATTACTTAGCTAATATTTGCTTCCTGTCTTGGAACTGGCTGTTAAGCATAAAAGAAAAACCGGTGAGAAACTATTGTGCTTTGTGGGTGATTTGCAGTACCAGCCTCTGGAAGGAACAGAGACTCACTGTTACACTCAGAAAACAGGTTTTTATCCTGATCAGAGATCCAGACTCCAAACTCACAGGCTGTCTATGCTGACTGCACAAAGCTGCCTTCAAAACTGCACTTGCTTGCTACGCACTGGAGCCTGTGAGCGCTGGCTGCGAGTGCTGCAAGGTTGCCCTCTCTGTAGCCGGCAGGACTCCAGGTGCCCTAGCAAGGCCAGCGGGCTTGTACGTGCCATAGCCAGCTGCCTTCAGGCAGTTTGCAGGCTGCCAAGGCGTTGCTGTGTGGATGGAGCATGGAGCGTGCTGCTTATTTGCGGTCTGCATACATACAGATGCATCTGTACTGTCCGGTTGGTTTCCCTACTTCTCTGTGTTAGGCTTTCCCTTGAGGTTGCATCTATCCTGCTAAATGCATCCACCCCTGAGAATTATGCCTGGTCCACAGGAAAAGTGTCCTGTTTGCACCCTGCTCAGAGCTGGCTCCTTTACAGCAGCCTGATGGTTTTCCTTGTATCCACATGATGCACTTGTCCTTTTGGGTCTCTTCTGGGCCCTTTGTCTCTAAGATGTGATCATTGCTTTTCAGTGTGGGTTTTTTTTTCTTTTTTTTCTTTTTGTTTGGAGCATCAGAAATAAGCTGAGACACGGGTTGCAGCCCACCAGAGTGGTATTTCCGTAACAAGGGATGTGCCAGGAGGGCTTATGGCAGGTGTTTGTCAGTATGAGACCTGGTGAAATATTGTTGGAGGGCTGGTTAGGACCAGGCAGCATTGATAAGGAACAAACCCTTATCAATGCCACCTTTTGGGAGTGATCTGTTTCTAGGACTTCCCTCGTTTTTTTATGGAGAAGATCAGTTGGTTCACTCCAAGAAAGAGGTTGGGAAGAAAGTGGCAATTATGCAATATAAGAATATCACAACCTGAGAGTAAACTAGGAGTTAACTTGGTGGGCAGTGTAGGCTTACTGGTTATCTGCAATATGCATGTGCTGATTTGCACCCGAACTCTGCTCTGGAGTGGCCAAAGTGTTTTTCTTATGGTGCAGAGGATAGTTCATAGCCTATAGCTGCTCTAATGCAGGCCGGTCAGCTCTTCTTGGACTGGAGCTGAGGGCTTGAGCACTTACAAAGACACTGTAGTTACAGCTTCAGTCCCTCCATTCCCTTGAAAGTACTGTGATTTACCCCAGGAAAGCAGAGCACTATAACCTGGGAGGAAGAGGCCTGGATTCATTTTGCTCTACCACCATGGGTCTGATTCTTTTTGCTTAGACATTGTCACATGCCTTCCAGGTCTTGTCTATCTTACATTGAATTATTAGCCATGAAATCCTCCAGTGGAGATGCAGCTTCTGTGAAAAAGTGTTTTTGCAAGGACATATGATATCAATTCCCTGGAAAATGAATTACTCCTCAAAAAAGATGCTGCTACCAGCCTTGTGACTCTGTCAGGAGGCTTATGCTTATGTGAAGCTGTGGTAAAAACATATTACCCCAACAGACTTGACTGCTCTGAAGGGTTTTCTAGTATGGATCTGCCCTAAGCCTCAGCTTTCCCATTTGCAACCTGGAGCTGATAGTGCTACGGTAACACAAGAAAGCTTTCTTTGTTCCTCATCTGAGACGGGTTTTGTATGAGGCAGTACTGCTGCTCAGAAGTACCACTGCTCCTGCCCTTACCGCTGCCCTCCAACGCTGGAAGGGAATAAGGGTCTCCTAACCACTTTCTTCGCTGACACACAACTGCAGCCACTTGCTGCTGACCTAGTAGAACAACTTAGTCTGACAAAATGAAGAAGGAAAGGGCAAATGCTGCACTGAGGACACAGGCACAGGAAAGGACAAGAGATGACATGTTTTGGTCTAGGGACTTCTTGACTTCTTTTACAAGTGCACAGACATGGCCATCCCCTTAGTCCCAACTGGAACCTTCATTCCAAACACCAAGCTCATTTTCCCAGTGATCCACAGAAGTTTGGAGAGAAATTTTAATTTCTCTTGTACCAGGTGGAGGCTTGCAGCTGACTTCACCAAGGAGGTAGCTTGTTGGAAATGGGGAGCTCCAGTGGTGGGCTGGATGCCTTGGGAACTGCAGGCAAATCACTGCCTCCCATACCGTAGTGTGGTACAGCTGGGAAATGTGGGGGCCACACTAGACATTGCCTGTAGACTTTTTTTATCTTTCTGGATCAGTGCTCTAGAGACAGGACAGTGAATCATTGTGGTCAGGTGGCATGCAGCTCCGTGAAAAGAGAGCAAGTGAGTAAGCATTGATGGGTACACAGTGTTAATGCAGCAGTAAGCAATGGGTACATAGTGTTAATGTACGAGGCATAAGCCTACTGGGAAGGAAATGGGAGGAGATAGTCTGTTTGTGTCCCACCTGTGCTATGTGAGAGTTGGGGGAACTGGAAAGCTGTAAAGACCCCTGTGCATTTTACTTAATGTCAAAGGTCTGTTGGCCTTTGAAATAAGGGGAGGATGTTTCTGGTGTGTGAAAAGTCTAACCTGACCTCCTCTTCTCTATACCTATAAGAAATAATAAATACCACCCAGACATGTATTATCTGCATAACTTAGAAGGTATCTATAAGAATTTTTGTGATTGAGTCACTGTAAGAGGAAATGGCTATCTACCTGCCCTAGCAAATAAGCACCTGATGTTCTGCATAACCAAGATTAAGATTAGATACTGCACCATATGGGAAAGTGTTCCTGTTAGGAAACTGGATGTAGTGAATTTCTCATGGTGAATAACTCCTATGTTCTTTGTATGTTAGTATTTGGCACCTGTTATTATATGACTTCATGACATCACTTCTCCAACCACTTAAAAAAATATCATGCAAGTTCCTTAAGGTTTGGTTGGGGAAATCCCCAGACTCTACTATAAAAGATCTCGTTTGTCCCTTTGCTGTCACAGCTGCTGGCTGAGAAGATGAAGCACACACAGGTGGCTGTGCTGCTCCTCATGCAAAGCATGATTGCTCTGGCTACAACAATGGCAACAACAGAAGTGGTAAGATGGAGCTCTCATAACCTGAGCTTTGGTGCTTTCTTGTCTTCTCATGTAATTTAGATTGCTGAAAAATCTTTTAAGGTTACTGGAAAATTATTAGGCAAATGTTGAGATCTCTGCATGGAGAAAGTTTAAAGTATTCCTCCATCCTCCCCGCAACTAATGTATTGGGACTGGGTAATAAATATAAAAGTGAGGCACAGGTTTAAAATCAGAGTCAAATTCTGCCTTTGGTTAGATGAGTGCAAGTCCCAGCGAGGATCTGGGTGGATATTAAATGCTCTGTGTAGCTTCTAATTAATTAGCTAGGGCTTATAGCAGGAAAGGATCCACATCTTTGATGTATATGGAGTTAGGAGGTGCAGGCTTTCCCAATTGCATGATTGCTGTCGTATTCTGTGACCAGGCATATGAAAGGCATGCTGGGTGTTTTTTGTGGGGTGCTCTCCCTCTTCCCCATAAAACTGTGTCTGTTTGGGCAAGAGAGAAGTTCAAATCAAAGCTGTTAATCAGAAAAAACCAAAACAAAACCAAAACCCACCAACAAATCCAGGGAGCAAGGGAAAAGAGAAAACTTTGAAAAAAAAAAATAATGCAAAAAGTAAAAATTACGTTAGTGAGAGATTTGTTTTGATTTTGTACTGTCTCATTCTTTTTAAATTTAAAATTGGGCTTAAATTATCAGAAGAAAATTTTGCAAATAACTTAAAATCTCTTCCAAATGAAACAAAACATTTTGCTTTTGTTTGACCCAAAGGGACTGGCTTTTGGTATTTTTTAGTTAAAATTTGGAAAAAAAAAACCATTTTGGCTCCCAATGACTCTTTCTGATTTGTCTGGTTTAGTCACCAGCCAGGAAAATCCTGTGTGCCCCTATTTATATGTTTTGAAGTTTGGGAGTGCTGTGGATGCAGGCAGTGAAGTCAGCATCCCCTGGGAAGATGCATTTAGCTGCTCAAGGAACGGAAAGTTGCAAAAGTCAAGATGGAGGTGTAAATATATGCTGATAAGCTGATAAGCTGATAAGAAAGCTTAATATGGGAGACATTTCTCCTCAGTCTGCTTAGCTTTAAGCTAGTCCCCAGTTTGTGTAATTTACACAATTTGTGATGCTCTCTGTCCTACCACTGTCAATTGCTACTAGCTCCCCACCCCATGTTCAGTGTAATCACATGAGCACACAAATGCTTGTTCAAATGGGTTTATTTGACAAACTGTCCCACAAAAGCTTGTTTATGCTGTGCCCTTTAATAGACCTGCCCTTTGCCAGCCATTTGGAGTTCCCCACCATTCCCTGGCTTGGGAATGGGGCTCCGGCTGGGATTTGGGAAATGCAGAAGGATGCAGTGGTAGGTGTCCTGTTGCGGGGGAAGACCATTTGATGCTCGGTCTGTTGCACCATTTGACATTGCGAGTGTCTTGCTGCGGTTTCCAGTTTGCCACACATTTTGGTGAGACCCCACTACAGGTGATAGTGTGCTGCATTACGGCAATGCACTGTGCTCTGCACACGACGTGGGGACGCAGTAGACCTTTAGGGACACACAGTACAGTGCCAGGGTGACAGCCACTCTCCTTGCTGCGACAGGAAGGCAGGCGCCAGCCAGAGATGAAAGTTAAAGGGGATGTATATTGTCTTACTACATAAGACTCCCAAGGTGGACCTGGCTGTATCCTTGGCAGTGTGGTGGCTTCCCCTGCTGCTCCCTCCCCGCAGTGGGATGCTGCCCGCTCCGTGGTGCTAGTAGGAGAGCGGGATGCGTGACCCAGCCGTCACAGCTCGCAGCCTGACAGCTTGGCGTGAAAGGGGCAGCGAGTCCTGCGCCGAGAGGCTGGAGTGAGAGCCAGGCAGCGAGGAGTGGATGTCCCTGCTGGGAGGACACTAGTCCCTGGATTTAGGGCAGGGGGGCACGGTACTGTCATTTTAGACTGCCATGCAATCTGCCGGGGCTGCCTGTCAGAGCCCCAGCTCACACCTCCCGGGCACGCTGAGTGTCCCCTGCCTTGCACTGGTCACACAGAGCCTTTCTGCAAGAAGAGGTGTCTATGAAGTGACACTGTGCCCGGGGAAACGTTAGTTGCCTCAGCAGCAGATCAGAAAAGCCAATTAATTTTACAGTTGCTGGGGATAGCTCCCATAATAAAATCAAAGTGCTTTGGAGCTGCAGGATGGGGGCTAGCTGGTGGGGAAGGGATGGTGCCATATGCAGGAATTCACACTGAAAAAGACTTTCCTTTGCTTTTTAGACTTCTCATCTCAGTACGACACCTCTGTATCTGGCTCAGCCTAGCAAGACGACTGGTGACCTGCAAACTCCCCCAAAGGTATGACCATTACTGTTCTTTAGTGAAGTCCAGAAAAAAACAAAATTAGGAACTTGTGCCCCATTTTTTAAATGCTACACAGTCACTCAGACATTTAACCTTGATAAATATTCACCAGTCAGGCTGCCCAGGAAAAGGCATTTAGGTGTTGCATATCCAGGATTTTAGGCAGTAATGAATTCCCAAAATCATCAGTGCTGCTGCCATGTCATTCAATGCCTTAAGTCACATCCAAAGCTCTGGCATTGCCCTTGTGACTACTGAACTGGACCCCAGACATGAAACAGCTGGGGCCATGGGGTTTTGGTGGCAATGTACCAAAGAGTTTGGCGGTTACAGCCTCCCTGGAGGAAGGGGAAGATTTCTTTTCAACTGTCCTTCCATGTAAACCAGAGCAGGGCCTTGAAACAATCTTCTGAGAAGTGCTCACTTGTGGTTGCTGGGGGTGAGAAAATCTTGATTCTTCCTGTTCTACTTAGCTCAAATTTTATTCAACTGTTTGGTGACAGAGGGACTTGAATCTGATTTCTGTGCCTTTCCATACAGCGTTCAAGTCCATGGTCTGCAGATTTCAGGGTTTGGTTTCTTTCCCTTTCTCTGTCAGTGACTGCTTAATAACATGTTTGCTTTCGAGCAGATTGAATGGGACACACTTGCTCTGCATGATCCTGCAACCTAGTATCACGAACCGGGTTTGTCCAAAGCACAGCTCCAGATCAGGTCAGAGGTGGTAGACAGCTCAATGGCAGGTCTCTGTTGTCCAGGCTAGCCCAGTGTGGCACCTGGGATGTGTGGAAGGACCTCTTCTGAGAGAGAGTTAAGTCTCTGGCTCCAGTAGAGGATTTAGAAAGTTAAATGGAGTTAGGAGTCTCTCTCTCAGTAGCAAGACCCAAACCTCATCCATCTCCTTGCCAAGCTGAGGTGGCCTCTGTCCCTGCTGTGTGGTTTCTGTGGATCCCATTCTTTGTCTTAGGAAGAGCAAGTAGCTAATTCAGAGCTGTGAATGCCAGTGGGCTACAGTGTAGCTGGAAATTAAGCACTGAAATGGCTAGGCTGTTTTGAGGATGTAACCCTATATCCACATTTAGGCAGCTGAATAAATTTCCTGGTTTTCAGAAAATCAAGTACCTGCCAGCTCCTACTCCCTCTCTTAAACTGAAGGGATGTGGAAAAGGAACATTTCTCATAGTTTCAAATATGTATATGTAACAGCTTAATTTTACAGAGTGAAATGTTGCTGTCAAGTCCTTGTTGTAGGCCTGGACAGTTTGCTCTCTTTTAAGCATTCAGTGTAAACTATTAAACTTTAAAATCATACAATTCCATCAAAAATAACAGCCTATCTATCTTGTGCATTTTTCTACAGGATGAGGGAAGGCTTTTTTGTTATATGGTTATCATTTGACTGGTATTATATTTTGATTGAAGCACTTACTGACCCAAGGGGCTTTTAACTAAACAATGCTTCTTGGTCTCGTGAACATCATGATCCCAATGTTTGTAATGTCAAAGGAAGAATGGAAGCAGTTCTGTCTGCCCAGGCTGTCTTTTCCTTTGGGAAAACTGTCTCTTGGCTTGCATATAAGCTGCACTTATTTCAATGAAGCTCTGCCTGCAATTCAAGGCGCTCTCATAACACAAATGTTAAAATACAATGATAAAGGTACAAGTTGGAGTTTTATTGAGAGATCATCTGAATACATTTATGAATGGTTTATTTAGCACATGGAGTAAGCACGGTACCTCTAGATAAACTGATGGCTATATATAGTCAGGACTGTAGTTTATAGCAGAGTACACAATGTGTGGTTTGCACTATACTATATATGGAAACATATGTATAGTACATACTATACTATGTAAAGTATACTCTCTCTTGGTATACATATACACATATATATTATATTTGTGTTACACTCAGAAGGGATAGAATACAATACCTTCTACACAAAAATTAGCATGCTAGTGCACAACGGTCTTAGAGAAAGTCCCATGTACTCACTAAGCCACATTTATTTCTTCTTTTGTCTCCCCCCATCTGTTTCTTTTGTTATTGCTGAGCAACTTTCCATCCCAGTCATGGCCATACACAGAGGACTCAGAGGTGCAGAAACATCTAAGTGACTTAGGAACCTGTTTTTCATAGTAATTTAGGTACTGATAGCCATATATTCAAAAATACTTGGAAACTTAGAAACAGTTTGCAGTATGTTCTCAGTGGGATATTCAGAAGTGCTTTGGTAACCTACCTGGCAGGGAGATCAATGGAAGTTATGTGCTGGGACATTCTGGAATGCCATGAAATACTTCTCTGCTTCCTTTCATATTACATGTCTTCAGCAGTCTGGCTATGAGTGAAGTTTTAAGGCCCATGGTGCTTGAATAACATAGATAAAACATCTTTTCATGCTTTCTTTCAAAATCAGATGTGTGCTGTGGTAAAGAGGTTGCCAGAAGTGTGAGCTGGGATCATTCCTGC